GTTAAGAACAATATAAATCTATCTATGTTAAAACTGAGATGTCTAATATTAGGTAGCTTTTTTTTAAATATCTTCAGTTTTAAATATCGTTTTTATTATTTTATTTTTTCTCCATAGATTAGATACCTAATACTGATAAGTTTATCTAGTAGTAAACAATTTGAGATAAGGAAGTCATAGTCTATCTGAATACTTAGCTAAATCCTAAGTGATGGGATAACAAACACACAAACATACAAACAAACTTTCGCATTTATATATATTTATATATAGCACCTTAAATTATACACAGCTGCTATTTTAGAATAAAAAAAACAAGAAAAAATCTCATTTGTCGACGTTATATCAGCAATGTGCTTTATGATAATGTTAACCTTCGATGCAAATAGTTTTTTTATTTATCACAAATAATATCTTATACTCAAAAAGTCTCGATTTCAACTAGGTACATTATGGAAATAGTTTTAATTATTTTAAAAATATATCATTTACTTTTTTACTTTACTATAAATTGCTATTTTGTTACATTTTTTTTAATATCAACTGTGCAGAGGGTCTCTTATAAGTAACATTGTATATGCCTCTCATTTATCATTCAGCTCTTTTTAATGGCCCACAATTAAGCACGGACGATCGTCTTTCGAAAATTTGCTAGTTACCTATTCAGACATGCAGGTTTCCTCATGATGATTTCCTTCACTATAAAGCAAGTGATGATTCGCACATAAAAATATTTGAGTTACCTGGGGTTTAAACCAACTACTTAATTTCCAAGCGAGCGCGTTATCTATGTACCTCTGGACTACATTGCCATTTTTAACCGACTTCAAAAAGGAAGAGGCTCTCAATTCGATTGGTATTTTTTTTATATTATGGCTACTCTAATTTTATTACTAAGCACATGGCTGGTTAAAACTATTTTATAACTTGATCGATTACATCTAAAAACCGGTTTAGATGGTTTTTAAAGGTTTCGATTGACATTAAGTTCTACTTTTCGATTTGAAAAGGTCGCATATAAAAATATTAATGTGAGCTACAAATAATATTAATTATTATTTGGTTGTTTAAAATAGGTTAACATAAATAAGTACCACAGATTATATTATTATTTTAATGTAGGTACGTATCTACTTATTTTGCAAACAAAAATCCAGTTGTTCAACTAATATGAAATATTTATTTTAATATTACCTTTATGAAAAACTTAAAAATCCGTCAAGTGCGAGCCGAATTCGCACACGAAGGGTTCTGTACCATCGTACATGTGCTTTTTATTAATATGACTCACTAGGTATGTATGTAGTATATTTATTGACTACGTCCGTATTGATTATTTGTTGTTATAGCGGCAATACAAATAATAAAAATTCTGTAAAAATTTCAACTCTACCGGTTCACCGTTCATGACATATAGCACTTTGACGGACTGACGGGTGGACACCGGAGGCTTAGTAATATTGGCATTATTCGGGTACGGAAGACTAAAAACTAAAAAGGAATAATAAAAGCAAGCTAAAATGAATAATAATCACTTATATAGTTAAGGAATAATTCATATGGTGAAAATACTTAAATTGATTTTTATATACGAGTATCTACATAATAGGTATGCTATTATAATCATATAGGTCATAATTATATAGGTCCATATCACCATATTAGTGTATTCAGTATTATCACCGTTGCATAGGCATACCAGAGCTCAATCAGGCGCTTTTGCACCGTAAAGTCAAACATACAAAAAGTTTAAGAAAAGTTTGTTAAAATAATTTTTAAAAGTAAAACACGGTTATGACCGACTGTATGAGAAGTGAGAACTAAATTTAGTTAAAAATGTATAAAAATATATTTTAATTTTTAGTATAATTAAAAACGTTAAAATATCATTTTTGTACAATTTTTATTTGTTCTCCTTACTCCTTTAGAGTATTAGTGAAAGATTTTTTAGAAAATGATCAGTAGTTTCAGAAATTATCTCTGCATCAAAACTTACAAGTTTTACCTATTTATATATTTGGAGATCCTAATTAAAATAAAAAATAAAATAAAATAAAATACCTACTAAGGACTCACACTACCTCCGCTCGAGTTCGTCCCATGTCACGTTTTAACGGTTAGTATATATTTCTTAGAGATGAGATATATTCCCGCAGTAAAAAGTATCCCATATGTTTACCCGGATAACCCAGATATCGTCATACCAAATTTCAACAAAATCTCTCTAGTGCTTTTTCCGTAATACGGCACTGACAGACAGATAGACAAAAATTGTAAAAACTACCTATAGATTCGATATCTGTATCGATATAATGAGCATTTCAATAAGATTTTCGAATAAATATTTAATGTACAGATTCGACTCAGCATTTTATTATATGTACCTATACAAGTGTAGATATCCATATTCTTATTATACTTAGTGATAAAGGCAATGCGATTAAATGTGTGCTTTATCTTATTTGTTTATTCATTCACTTAAAACTACTAAATGTCTCATTGTGTGTTATAATATTATATTTTAGTACCTTGGCGACCGATTTTCGCTCGGCGTTTTTTTAGAAAGGACACCTATACCTATAGATAAACTTATAAACAAAATCTTATCCAAATGCAAACTTGATTCAAATCGTTATAGCTATTTCCGAGATACACGAAATAAATTTATATGTATACAAAAATTGCTCATTTGATATTATAAGATTAGGATATTTTTAACATTAATTTAAATTATTAGATATAAATGCCTTTAATAGGTACATATCTATGTAGGAAATCCTTAAATATTTAATTAGTATAGTGTTTTTTATCTATAATAATTAATATTGTAAGTTTTCAAGTAAATTTTTATATCATGTATGTGAGATCCGAAATTTATGGAAATCTACGGTACTATGGTAAAGTAAATGCTGGTAATGATATGAATGTCGTCTTAGGTAAACAATTTTCATCCATATCGCTGTATTTTTTGTAATTTAACAAAATAGGCTTGGGACTCCTTCAAGTATTTTTACTATGCTCTAAAGATACTCGTATATAATAACTACAGTCTACCCGCTTTAAGCACAACAAGACCATTTGGATTGCTTTACGATTTTTTATGTTTGAAAGTATTCTGTTTACTTGAAAATGAAAAGCAAATCCCGTATCCACAGAATTAAACATATAGTTACAGTTAACAATAGATTTCTTAAAAATTTAATTAATTTCTTAGAAATTTACCTGCAGGTGTTAAATATAAATACAAGTGAGTAATGAGCGCTAATATTTTCCATTAGGTAGAAGGGGAGTTGTATAGTTTTGGACAATAATATTATTATTTTGAACTCGTTATAGAATTTATAATATGATTTATTGTGAAATATTTATTTTGCGGTAGCAAAAAAGTAAATACTAGCATTTTAAATATAAAATTACTAACATGTTATAAAAGCTCCTTTCCTTTCCATCGGTCTCAGGATACTTATTGATGAATGTATAAAAATAATCGTACACTGGTTATATGTAAAAGTCAAGGATTTGTTGTTAATATCTCTTCAAGACAACTTAAAATTTAAGTGAACAAGAATAATAGAGTTAATACCGAAATAAATACGTATCTATGATTGATAATTGATAATTATTATTTTAAGAAAATATTAAAATACATTATAATAATTTTCTTTCAATGTAACTTAATGCAAAGACTGTATAATATACATACATAAAACCAATATTTAAAAAAATCACACGAAATTAATCGTTAATTAAAAAATTATAGAATGTATAATTAAAGCATGCTATTTCCAATTCGGACTAAAAGCTATAATTAAGCTCATTCATTCAGTTTCCTTTTGAGGTCTGCTTCAGCGATCTCATACCTGCATTATGTAGTCCGGTCAAATGAGATCTGAAATCAAAATTTGAATCTCAACTTTGCATTTTTGATATAATGTAGTTTTAATGATACGAAAACAATGTGTAAAGGTTTTCGTGTCTGCAACCCCCGGCAAGGGTTGAAAAAAAAATTGTCAAAAATGTTTTTTCGCAATTACTCGAAAACGGTAAAAATTGGACAAACAAGTTTTAATAAAAATATGTAGAGCTTAAAATTTTACATAAAAAAGTATCATGACTTTTTTTCCTCCGGTCAAAATGAATCGAGTTAGGGAGGTTTTAAGTTTAAGGGATGAACGTAAATTAAAAAAAAAATCGTAATAAGTAGACACATAAGCGAATTTTAGTTTCCTCGTTCGTCCCTTAAGCTTAAAACCTCCCTAACTCGGTTAATTTTGACCGGAGGAAAAAAGTCATATTTTTTATGTAAAATTTTAAGCTCTACACATTTTTATTAAAACTTTTTCGTCCACTTTTTACCGTTTTCGAGTAATTGCGAAAAAACATTTTTGTCAATTTTTTTTCAACCCTTGTCAGGGGTTGCAGACACGAAAACCCTTACACATTGTTTTTGTATCATTAAAACTACATTCTATCAAAAATGCAAAGTTGAGTGCCAATTTTTGATTTCAGACCTAATTTGATTGGATTAATGCCACTATACAATTTACAGTCTATGATTATATTAAGTAATGCTTTTAGTTATAAAATCAAATGTGAAATACATTAGCTAACATTGTAAGAGCACCTGAAATATAAAAAATAAACTTGAAATGATCTATTAGATAAAACATAAGTTCAATTTATTAGCTGCATTTTTTAAAGATTAATAATAGAACGGAAATTATAGACTGATTCACGTGTATTAATTAAAATATTTCTATTAGTCAAAGAGAAGTAAGCATACCTAAGCTCAAGGCTCCGTCGTATGTTAAGTTTACGTTCAACAAACGGAACACGAATGAAATCGAAAGGCTATCACTGAGTCACCAATTTAGCTTATGTTGTTGCCAGAACTGGTTTGCCTTGGCAATGAAAGTGAATTGGATAATACAAAGCAGTTTGTATAAAAACTAGAGCACTCTTGCAAAAATTATTCAGTTGCCAGCACAACCAGAACAAAGATGTACGCCAAGGTGTGTTGAAAACATATATTTATATATAAAAATATTTCTAACATTTATTTTTAATAATATATAATATATTAACTATTCATTATTTCCAGTTGATCATCGCTCTTTGCGCTTTGGGTGTTGCCCATGGTAGTGGCCTTCTGGCGTCTGCGCCTATAGCGTACAGCAGCCAGGTGCTCGCCGCTCCAGCGGTCATCTCCAAGACCGTCTCTCCTGCTATCTCCTCTGTATCTTCTTACTCCACCCAAACCGCTCACTCTGGACCCGTCACCACCTACGCTGCCGCCCCAGCCATCGCCAGCTATGCTGCCCCAGCTGTCGCTAGCTATGCTGCCCCAGCCATCGCTAGCTATGCTGCCCCAGCCATCGCCAGCTACGCCGCCCCCGCCGTCGTGAGCAAGACCGTTGTACCTGCCAGCTCATCCGTCTCATCTTACTCCAGCAGCGTGTCTCATGGATCTCCCGTCGCTACTTATGCTGCTGCCCCAGCAGTCGTAGCCGCCGCCCCAGCTGTATCCGTAGCCGCCCCAGCCGTAGCAGTATCCCGCACTATCTCCCCCGCCGTGACTTCTTACTCTTCTTACTCGAGCCAGGTCGCTCACGGAGCTAAAACTATTGCTGCCCCAGCCGTAGCCACTTACGCCGCTGCCCCCGCAGTCGCCTCGTACGCTGCCCCAGCAATCACCTCTTATGCCGCTCCCGCGTACGCCTCTTACGCTGCCCCAGCGTTCGCCTCTTACGCCAAATCTTACGGTATTCCCGCGGTCACTTCTTACTCTAAGATCTACTCCGCTCCAGCCATTTCTTCATACTCTGGATTGTACTCCGCTCCTGCCTACTCTTCATATGCCGCGCCCGCCTACACCAGCTACGCCGCAGCCGCCCCCATCCTCAAGTCAGCTGTATCCTACTCTGCTGCCCCCGCTCTTGCGTACAACACTCACGCCTGGTAAACTGAATCAAAACGTGCTCCTGTAAATATGTAATTAGCAAATTAAACGACATGCCATTATAATTTGATAACTTTTATTTCTTACTGCAGTGCAGGTTAATAAGATACCTTAAATAAAAAAATGACATATTTTTATTAAATGAATGGGTAATTTTAAATCAAAAAGATTGGTTGATAGTCACTAAATTTTAGGCAAGATTAACAAGTTTTTACGATTTGGGTATTTATGTAACACATACCTACAATATGTTACATATAAAAATGGACAAATGTACAAAGGACGGGCTTACCGTAAATATACATTATTTTCTACTCATCAACCTAATTGAGTAAGAAATAGTGTTTGATGGCGTATAAAAAAGCGAAATTTAAAAATTGTATTACTTCAGATATATTTATGATGTAATATTACAATGAATCTTCTATGTCGATTCTTAGACATGTACAATATTTATTACATTAATTTATCTATAAATAGTCTAAAGTCACTGTTTTTGTCTGTTTGTTTCTCCGCTAACTTCTTTTAAACAATGCGACGGATTTTGCTATAGTTTTAACTATTATTTAGAGATTTTTTTCCGGAAGGTTTATATGTATAGTATATGCATATATGCATATTGTAGTAGAAAACGGCCGAGAATTTCAAAGATTTGTAACGATGTCGTAAAAAACATATTTTTTCAACCGACTTCAAAAAGGAGGAGGTTCTCAATTCGACTGTATGTTTTTTTTTTTATGTTTGTTACCTCAGAACTCCGTCATTTATTAACCGATTTAGACAATTTTTGTTTTGTTTGAAAGGATATACTTCCAGATTGGTCCCATTTAAATTTCAAAAAAAAATACCACCCCTAAGGGTGGAAAAACAACTAATAATGAATTTAACCTACTTCTAATTGTCATATTGACTTGAAACTTTGCAAGTATTTCTATTTTCGTTGATAGTACAGTGGTTCGGTGTTGTTGACCTGATCTGATGGCAAGGCCAGAAGGTGGATAGGTGGAACTCTTCAACGGCTAATAGTAGATACTTTGAGTTTGGGCTTATTTTGTTTGATTTGACAAGCCTAACACGTTAGAATCCTTACTTTGCTACTACTGTCTACACTAAAAAGGGAAAAATAAAAACTTTTTAACAAAAAAATAAAAACCGACTTCAAACAAAAGCACTAAAAAGTGAAAAATAACTGATTGGTAGTTTTCATTTACTATACATACCTAATCAAATATTTTCGAAGTCGGTGTGCTTTGGCTAAGTAATTAAAGCCTACCTATTAAATACATACCTAATCAAATATTTTCGAAATTGGTGCCAGCCCATACAAAGCAAAGCACACCGACTTCGAAAATATTTGATTAGGTATGTATAGTAAATGAAAACTACCAATCAGTTATTTTTCACTTTTTAGTGCTTTTGTTTGAAGTCGGTTTTTATTTTTTTGTTAAAAAGTTTTTATTGCGCTTACATTGAAAACGCTGGCTAAACCTTACAAGATTGATTTATATAATGTACCACGAATTGTAAGACGGAACTATATTTTCTATGGATAGCCCACAGTAATCACTTTTATCTTTTAGATACTCGTATTATTAAAAATTAATTGGTTTTTACGAAGCTATTTTAAACAATACAGTATTAATCCTTATCCAATTAAATATATTTAGATACGTTGTGCATTTAATATAGATCAATATTGCCCTATACAGCATATCATTGAATATCTTACAAGATATTACAGGTTTAAAATTATTAATCGCTCGCAGCGAAACGTCTAACATTTCATCAAAACATTGTCGGTACTAGAAAATTGTAGGCCTTAAAAATCCTACAGAAATGCCGATAGCACGTGTTTATATTATCTCTTAAAACGTACCTAAGGACGCACCCGAGCGAAGCGAGGGTAAGTCGCTTGTATTTTTATATTTATTAAATGTACTATATTTAATAAAACTTTTTACAAAATATATTTAACTAGCAGGACTCGCGGCTTCACTCGCGCTAAACCTACAAAAAGAAAACTTAAAAGGTCGGTTTCATACAAACTTTCATCTAATGCTAAAACACGTATTAATTTATTAAATAAAACTATCTTTTCGGATTATTTCGCGGATTTATTTTGATTTTTGGTTCCCGACGTTTCGAATGCTTTACAGCATCCATGGTCACGGGAGAGACTGAGGTGTTACATGTCTTAAAGATATAGTTGTTACAGACAGCCTACCCACAATTAACAAAATGAAAATTGCACCAATTACATTACAATATTTTTAACTTTAAACATTTTTATAATTTTAATTATAATTGAATATGGAAAATTATTTATTTAATTTTTGCTATTATTTTTATAATTATTACAATTTTAAAAATATTAATTAGTAATCTATATTTAGTGTTCCCATTATTATATTTATAACCATAAATAAAAATATAAAAATATAGTATTAATTATTAAAGCCATATAATTGTTCTATGTGTAATTTAAAAAAGTTAAAATTAATTACGGATAATAATTTTAATTTAGTTTGCTATTATTTAAAAACAACTTACTAAGCAACACTATTAATATATACTTTTACAAATGAAAAATATTAATCTGATAAGCTGTCATTTTGATCTACACAGTATGAACTTACTACATCTGCCTGTCTGTTATGTTTATATTTATTATTTGATTTTATTATATTAATAACAGGATCCCATGACGATGGTAGTACCCAGCCATCTTCCCTATTGAAATTTGGATGTTTTTTTAATTTCTATGGCTTCTTCGAGAATCAATTTATAAATAAATAAAATATAATTACATATTATGTAGGTATAAGTAACAGAAAAATGTTTTTTTTTTAATTTTTATCCTTTTCTAATAGTATTGTAAAAAGTGTGACATCAAAGTGATTGCTTTTCGACTCCAAAATATCTAAATAAACTAGGTCTGTGTAGCGGTATCAATGATTTTACAATATTTTGTTATATTTTAATACAAATATTAGTGAACTAGCATTGCCCGCGGCTCCGCCCGCGTTCAGATGACCAAAAACCAAATTCTTAGGTTTTACATATTAGTATAGTCTTACATTCCAGTTTTTGTATTTTTTCTCAGAAATGAGATATTTTCCCGCAGTAAAAAGTATCCTATATCTAGACCCGGATACCCAGCTATAATCATACCAAATTTCATCTAAATCTGTCCAGTGGTTTTCTCGTGATGCGGTAACAGACAGACAGACAGACAAAAATTCTAAAAACTATAGATTCGGACTCTGTATCGATAATAATGTCTATTTCAATTAGATTTTCCAAAAAATATTTAATGTACAGATTCGACTTAGTTGTAATTTTATTATATGTATAGATTATTACGCTAAATTCTGTCGTTTAAAAAATATGTACATTTTAAGTAAAAACTTACTTTTATGTGACATTTAACCTTATCCGCTTAGAAAGGTTTTTATAATAACATAATTCTTATACAAACTTTCGTCTCTCGGGAACGTACGAACAAAAGTTTGTGTTATCTAAGAAAAATTATCTGTGCCATAGCTTTCTTACACAAATATAGTTTTGTATAGAGTTATATCTCTCGCCTATTCTATTGAAAACCTTATTTTTCTCAGTATAAAGAGGAGAAAGGTATGATCTTAATCTATAACTGCATCATATAATAAAACTGTAGAGATCGAATGTCTGTACATAGCAAAAAAAATGCTAAAAACCGAGTCAAGGGGAATGTTAGGAGAGAAATAGAACAAATCCACATTTTTATTAATTTTTTGTTTCTCTGTCTGTACGGGTTAATCTCCGAAACTGCTGGATAGTCCGAAAATGCTGCTTAGTACACAAAAACTTCTAATTGGATTTTAATGAAACTTTACAATAATATGGTTCATACATCAGAATATCAAATAGGCTACTTTTTATCTCGTAAAAATGTTCGGTTCCTGTGGGATAGATTTGTTTTTATTTGTCTAGAGGCGTACCAGAGCAAAGAAGGGTGAGCCGCTAGTTTCAAATATGAATTCTGCAGTGTATTGTGTCACCGAAATTGTTTTATAAAAAGTACGCGTATCTGGTATGTAAGCTTGGAGTATTTACATAAAAAGGATAAATTAACGTTAAGAAAGACAAAAAACTCGAAATTAATCGTTATATGTACAAATATCTTATATCAGTAATAAATAATAAAATATATGTAATAAAGCTTACTGCAATATAATATCTCAGAAACTATTCAACGTACTGACTTGACCTCTCGAATTTATTATTATAAGTACCAGTTTATCTTAAGTAAGTATAACTTCGTTGACGGAGAGGTAATATGTATGTAAGAAAATAAGCAATTTTATCATTTAATTGTATTATGAAATTAAAATGTCGTGACATTTGTAGTTTTATAAAAATTTAAGACGACATTTATCCTGTTATATTTATAAAATTTGAAAGTGAAATGTTTTTCTTTGTTGTGATTCAATTTTTTTATTAAAATAGGAAGACCAATATAACCAAATATCACAAAATGTAACCAAATCTAATACAACCAAATATCACAGCATAAATTATATAAAAAAAAGATTTATAGAACAAGACGGGTAATATAGTTATAGATATAAGATATGTACATTGTACATTGTATATACATTTAATCGAAGACAGTGGTGGCCGAGTGGTAGCTTGCTCGCTTGAGAAAACCGACTGAAACGGATTCAAATCCCGCCCCTCTAATTTCCAACATTATTACACTTGTCTCATGGTGAAGGAAAACATAGTGAGGTAAACTGCATGTCTGAGAGAACCTAGCAAGTTTTAGAAAGACATGTGAAGTCCGCCAACCCGCATTTAACCAGCGTGGTGGACTATGGCCTGATTGCACTCGTAAATAATATATATTAAAGGAAGGCCCGTGCTCGGGGGATTTAAAAAAAACTGAATATTTTCAATCAATTCGACCTGACTTCAGCCAGATATGTGTATTAAATTATATTTTATTTTAATTAGTAAACTTACTGATTCTACAGATTATAATCATAAATCACAAATTATTATCAAATATATAATATATGCGCGCATTTTAGTATCATATTATATAATCCTTTAAAGTCGTGAAGACAACTATTTACTAAGGTTTTATCGCATTCATATAGCCACTTTATATACCTTAGTATAGATTTATTATAATAGATTTGCTTGCTCTACCCTTGAATACGTAAACTGCATACACATTACATAGCAGTAAAATTTTTACTGATTTAAATGATGATGAAGAGGCATAAATTTTATCTGAAACAAACGCTAAAGATAACTAAATTTTATAGCTTACTCCGTACAAAAATATTCGATTCTAGGCAGTTATCACGTTACTGATATGTTCGATTACCAAAATACATAGACACATTAGGCATGTTAATATCCTGATTTGTACAGATTTTAATTGTATTTTAGACATATATTTTTATAGTGATCTTTATTTATATATTTAATGGAGAATTTTAGTAAGAAGATAGTATGTTAGGTTGTAAAAAATATTGAGATACACGTGAGATGAATTTAGATTGTGTGAGATGAGTGAAGTGAAGATACTTCGCTAAAATTATTATACATTATTATTATGGTAATCCGATTATGTAGTGATTACTCCTAAAATAGCATATTCCTTAAAAATAATATTTTCTATTAATTTTCCTTAGTTATATAATAAAAAAAACAAATGCTTAAGATATGTAGTGTTAAATAAATATGATAAATACCTATTAATCGTTAAGTACATAATATAATAATAAATAAATAATAAATATGTTGCACATATGGACATTAACACACAGCACCATCTTGTTATGTTATGAGGCTTGTATTATAGATACCAGATAGTTGATACACTACACATACATTACTTTAAATATATACACATTATAAATTTAAACATTAAACAGCCATGACTGGAGTACAAACATTCGTGCTCACCACACAAATAAATGCCTCAGCTTGACTCGAACCCGCGACCGCTGGCACAGCAAGTAAGGTTACAAACTGAGCCAAACGTGTCTTCAATATGTCAGTTATACTGACCAGCTAGTGTGATATAGTAAATAAAGTTCACGCCAAATTTAATTGTCAATTTTTTTTATAAGAGTTCTATTATCTCCGGATAAAATGTATTCTTATTGTCAAAGTATTAAATACTCAAAGTATCATAACAAAAATAATTTAAATTAAGTTTCAAAACCAGACAGTGTTTTTTAAATACTTCATCGTTTCAGCTATAAAATTCCATTCCTGAACCCGGAAGTGCTTGACTTGTAGGTATATATTTGCATTTAATGTTTCTAATGTTTTGTATCTAATTATATTGTACATTTTCTTATATACATATTAAATTAAATTTATCCATAATATAGAATAATTCATATTTTTATTTAAATCATAAACAATTAAAATTACATAGACCGCATTTAGATAGCTTATACTACAAATTTAAATTATAAAGTTTTTAAAATAAGTTTTACGATATGAAAAAAGTTGACTTAAAAGAACTGAGGTGTCTACCACTACGTCTGAAGCCGCGTCATATGTATTTGCCCAATAAGGACAGATTGCCTTCGTAATGAAAGTGTATTGAAGAATTAAGATTATTGTCGAACTTTCTGACTATATAAACCAGATCGATTCGCAAAATAATTATTCAGTTAACAATTTTAATAATATAAACATGTACGCCAAGGTGTGTTTTTATTTATATATTATTAATTTGTTAATCATAATGAAGTATTATACAAATTGTTTAATGTGAATTATTTATTTCCAGTTGATCGTTGCCCTTTGCGCATTTAGCGTAGCTCATGGTAGTGGCCTCTTAGCAGCTGCTCCTTTGGCGTACAGCAGTCATGCTATTGCTTCACCTGCAGTCTCTTCTGTATCTTCATACTCTAGTCAGACCGCACATGGGGCTCCTGTAGCCGCGTACGCTGCACATGCTGTCGCCAATCCGGCCATCGCCACTTCATATTCTGCTCCAGCCATCGCTAGTTATGCCGCAGCACCAGTAGTTACCAAGTCTATTTCACCAGCCAGTGTGTCCTACTCATCTTACTCCAGCAGCACATCTCACGGCTCTCCAGTCACGTCTTATGCCGCACCTGCAGTTTCTTCTGTCTCCTATGCTGCACCTGCCATCGCCAAGATTGCTACTCCAGCCATCGCCACTTCATACGCTGCACCAGCTATCGCTAGTTATTCTGCTGGACCCGTTGTGACCAAGTCAATCTCACCAGCCAGTGTCTCTTACTCTTCGTACTCGAGCAGCACATCTCACGGTTCTCCAGTTGCGACTTACGCTGCTCCTTCCGTTTCTGTTGCCGCTGCACCTGCAGTTTCTGTGTCTTCTTATTCTACTCAGACAGCACACGCCGCTCCAGTTGCCGCGTACGCCAAGATTGCCGCTCCGGCTATAGCTACTTCATACTCTGCTCCAGCCATTGCTAGTTATGCTGCAGCACCCGTAGTAGCCAAGTCTGTTTCACCAGCTCGTATTTCCTACTCATCATACTCGAGCAGCACATCTCACGGATCTCCAGTCGCGTCTTACGCTGCTCCCGCTGTTTCCGTTGCAGCTCCTGCTGTAACTGTCTCTCGTACAATCACTCCTGCCGTGTCATCTTATTCTTCCTACTCTACCCAAACTTCTCATGGTGCTAGAGCCATTGCTGCACCTGTAGCTGCCTATGCCGCTGCACCAGCCATTACCTCTTACGCTGCCCCAGCAATTACCTCTTACGCTAACTCATACGCAGCGCCCGCGATCGCCTCGTACTCTAAATATTATTCCGCCCCCGCGATTGCCTCTTACTCAAGACTGTACTCTGCTCCCGCGATCTCCTCGTACGCCGCCCCAGCTTACTCTACATACGCCTCGGCCGCCCCCGTCCTCAAATCTGTCTCTTACTCTGCTGCTCCTGCAGTGTCTCACATCTCCTACAACGCTCACGGTGCCAACTACGCTTGGTGAACTACAACCTAATTATTATGTTAATGACTGAAAATGCTAAAAAGTAATAAATATTAAAACCGGATATCGTTTTTAATTTTAAACCTATTTTACCTTATATTCGCTACAGTGACCATAACAGTATACAGTATAGGAAAGGTGCAAAACAGCCTCTTAAATATTTCATAAGACAAAGCTCGGCGCACGGAATCCAATTCGACTTTTATGAGCGCCTTATAGCAAGTTGTAAGCATAGTTTATGATCTTATTACATTTTTGAATCAGTAAATAAAATGTTTATGAAACCTAGCATAATGATGATAAAATACATAGAATAATAGATTATAAGAGCTTAAACATACCTACTGAATTTATTTTGCTTTACAATCGAATACTTATGTAACAAAAGCTTTGAATTCCACTTTATGTATTTGTAAATACGAAATACAAACAAAAAAATATTTTTATTTGCATGCTTTGTTTATGGTATTTTTAGACAGGAAAAAGAAATTAGATAAACACAAACCTACGCTACAATTAAAGCTTAATCTGTACATATAATAAAATTGTAACTAAGCCGAATCTGTACATTAAATATTTTATGGAAAATCTTATTGAAATAGACTTTATTATCGATACAGAGACCAAATCTATAGTTTTTAGAATTTTTGTCTGTCTGTCTATCTGTTATCGCATCACAGAAAACCCACTGGAGAGATTTTGATGAAATTTGGTATGATGATAGCTGGTTATCCGGGTCAACATAAAGGATACTTTTTACCGCGAGAAAATGACTCATTTCTGAGAAAAAATACAAAAACTGCAATGTAACATTATACTAATATGAAAAGCCTAAGAATTTGCTTTTTGGTCATGTGAACGCGGGCGGAGCCGCGGGCAATGCTAGTATTATATATGTACCTATAAATTAATTTCTAGATGTATTGTTAAACTAATATAACAAGTGCAAAAGATTGTGAGTGAATTAGTAAATTAACGAGTTAATGTTTTTGTAACTTTTTCATTCTATAACGTCTCAACGTACATACTTAAGAATGAACTAGTTATATACTGTAGGAAATTTAACTGCATTCATGGTTATAAATAATGTATATAATTTCTTTTGTAAAGAAAAGGTTATATCTCAAGGGCGGTTAAAATAATTCTACCTCTTAGGGTCGAATAATTACTTCTTAAGGTGCCGAGAGGTGGATTAAGTATTATTTTTAATTATTAAGTTTAGTTTAAAGGAGGTGTGACATTTTTAATTTCATCATCATCAATCATGTGTATGTTGCCATTAAGGCAGGATATAGTGAACATATTGTTTTTCCTACACAAAATCCTTTAACTAATTATAATTAATTAATTACACGTGGTTTAATTAATTTTAAGGCTGTACAGTGTAGATCGTGTTGCATTCCGAATTACGGGAGAATATTACAACTACGGACCGGATAAGAGGTTTACCCGGTCTTGGTGTTGTGGCGGCCAGTGATGATAAATATGTAGCTTTACAAGATTAGGTTTAAAAAAATTCTTAAACGGAAATTGAACCTGTTATTTAATTGAACCTGTTAATAAAATAGTATGTGTATGTATTATATTGTACCAGCCAGTTCACCCTAGAAAATTACCCTGAATTAACTATAAATACTTTTGGTAATAAATGGTAGATATAATTACATATTATGTTATCATTAAATATTCGAATATATTATTACTAATATATTCTTTTTTGTCTTTCAAATTAACTATTGTAGATAATAGAAGCTCTGTGAAAAAAAATAATCCAATTTTATACAAACAACCAAGAACCATATATAAACCATAACACATTACGTATCGTTCCATATAATTGCTATTGAAATGACGCAACTCTGATTTAAAGTTTTATAGTAACTGGGTCGCGAAGGAAAAGGTTTTAGGTGCTCTTATGAAATGTTTGTCTTATAAAATAATATTTGGATTCATATATTTTATATTCTAATGTACGATCATATTGTTTATATATTATTGTTCATTGATATTAAAAAGATAAGGATTTTTTTATAAAATAATTAAATTACTAACACAAGAAGAATTTGCCATTACCTTAAAAACCGCAGAATTTTCTCAATTTTTGCGTTTTTTAAGTATATTTTTTTAAACCTTAAAAAAAATTATACTCAATATGAAATAAAATATTGTTATATTTTCTGAAAATTAAAAAGCTCTTGCACTTGCAGCTTACTATCTTTTACATTTTTGTACTTTGTTAACTAAAAGTTTAATGGCATGGCATGTTGTCTTATAAGTAGTTATTTCGTAGATTAATTATATTTCTAAATTTAATGGAAAATTTCATATTAAGTAAAAAACAAGTTATTAAACTTAGATAACATTCTGTGAATTTATTAAAGAATCAAAAAGATTAACGGGCGCTTAAGATTGAAGCTTTTTTCATTATACGAGAAGAAAGTTCTAGCTAAGTTCAGAATTTTAATATTAGACGACTCTTGATATAATTCGCTTTAACGACATTCAGATGACTTTTTGTTTCAGTTGTTCAAGTTTGTTTCTGTAAAGAATGTTTAACATGTGAAAGTCATAGCAGAATCCTATTTTCATAGAAATGTAATGTTATTAGGATATTACTAAAAAAATTAAATATGTAAAATGGTATTATTTAAAACATTTTTTAACCGACTTTCAAAAATTCGTCGGAATCTTTTTTTATGTATGTTCACTGATTACTCGAAGACGCCTTAACTGATTTGATTTTTTTTGTTTTGAAGTGGTATACTTTCCATTTAAATTTTATCGAAATTGGTCGAGCGGTTTAAAAAAAATCAACTATACATTATTTTTTAAATATATTGCTTAATCGAATATGTTATTAAAAAACTTTCTTCTTACAAATTACCTGCTTATTACGTCTACACTAAAAATGGGAAAATAAAAACTTAAAAAAAGTAAATATCGACTTACAGGCACTAAAATGTGAAAAAAAAACTAAACGGGGGTTTTAATTTACAATAAATACCGAATCAGATATTTTCGAAATCGGTGCCAGTCGACAGTATTTTAAGATATGAATATCAAATACAGTTAAAATATTATACATCAATTTGTGATGTATTTTACGTATCGAAATATATTAAAACAAATCTATTCTCGGGAACCGTATATTTTTCCGAAATAAAAAGCAGCGTATATGTTATTCCAGACTATAATGTATTTCTGCGCTGTATTTCATTCAGATCCGCTCAGCCGTTCTGGCGTGAAAGAGTAACAAACATCCATACTCACAAACTCTCACATTTATAATATTTATACAGATTCGGCTGGCACCGAAAAATCTGATTAGGTATCTATTTTAAGTGAAAGCTCCCGTTTAGTTATTTTTTACATTTTAGTGCCTGGCAGTTTTTTTAAGTTTTCATTATAGAATAGGCCTAAAATTATATTTTTAAAAATATAAATCCCATATTAGATTTTTATATTCAGTTTTTTTTAAACTGAGAATAATTTATTATAATCAAATTAAATGTACATAATATATGCTATGTATTAAATAAAGCGTACTTGTTTTCAAGATACTCATTTACTTAAGGAATGCAACTTATTAAGCACAATGTTTATATTACTAAAATTAAATCGTATTTGGAAATCGCACTATCACACGGAGGCGAATTAATATCTAGTACACACATTTATAGGCGGCCTGGGTGTAGTTTTACCCTGACATTGTTACAGTCAGATCGACAGGGGTTTAGCTTTATAATTGCTTCATGTATACACTCAAAATAATCCTTGTTGCAAGACTAGAAAACAGAATTTGCTGTGTCATAGGATAAAGTTTCGTATTGCATTAGTTTTCTGTAAAAATTGATTACCAGTTTGTTCAGTGTAGTATAAAAGGGAATGCAAGTATTTTGGAAGTTACTCTGTAAACAGAATTCAGTCATCTAACATGTATTCTAAGGTATGGTTTTCGATATACGTAGTTATTTTTTTATATATTCTTTGAACATTAAAAATTATCGAAGTCCATATCTATATAACCATCGTGGCTTCTAAAAGTTTAGTGCAAGTGATTTGAGAAATTTAAGTTAATTTATCAAAGTAATAATAATATTATTTTCAGGTGGTCATCTTCCTCTGTGCCGCGGGCATTGCTTCCGCTGGTAACCTATTGCATGCGGCACCCGTGGCATACAGTGCACCAGCAGCATCTGTATCCTACTCGACTACTACTACATCTCACTCTGCTCCCATCATTGCTGCACCAGCGGCGTATGCTGCACCAGTGACATATGCTGCTGCTCCTGTGTCGTACGCTGCTGCTCCTGTGGCGTCGTACGCTGCACCTCTAGTCACCAAAGCAGTGGCACCCATCGCTTCCTATGCTGCGCCAGCTGCATCGGTCTCATACCAAACAGTATCCACACAAACCAGTCCAGTAGCCTACGCCGCCGCACCCGTAGTTGCCAAATCGTATGCTCCCCCAGTTATTACTAGAGCATATGCAGCGCCAGTTGTTAGAACTTACGCAGCAGCAGCACCTGTTTATGCCAGAAGTTACGCTGCCGCTGCTCCCATTGTAGCTAAAACGTACTCCATTCCAGCGATCTCGAGCTATGCTGCTCCCGTGGCCCGTCTTGCTCCCTCACTTTCATACGCATCGGTAGCAACCCACAGCTCACCAGTGGCTTATGCTGCACCAGCGATTTCTTCTTACGCAGCACCAGCTTTCTCATATGCTGCTGCTGCGCCAGTTATCTCCAGCTATGCTGCGGCCCCGGCCGTCTCCTACGCTGCTGCTCCAGCCGTGTCATATGGCTTGGGCGGACACGGATGGTAATTTGCTAAATGAGCAAAGCATTTGTAAATATGTACCTTCTATCTCAATCTAATTATAATATATGTATATCTGTTGATTAATATTATTTTATAAATAGGCAAACATATAAAGTCAAATAAATAAAAAATAATTTTATTAACACCGTTTTTATTTCCTTCTTTGTGACAACTTCAAAATAGTCAGTTAAAAATTCAAAATTATTCTTAATATATGTTAAACTGCACTAAAAATAATAATTTTCCTAAATCTAAATTAATTATATACATATCTTTACGCCAATTCCTTACAATAACTATTATATTCTTAAGAACAATGTTACAAATGATTTTGGCTGCAATTTTTTTTACTTATCGCTTAATGACCTAGCGAGACTAGGGCGCAGAAACGTAGTCAACTAGATATTTTTTTTTTTAATACTCCCACTTTTCGTCTTTCTCACTCTGTCCCCGCGATTTTATACGGGCGACAGGTAAGCCGCTATATATTTTCATTGTTTTTGAGTTATATTCAATTGCTTGTGTGTGCATCATTATTACCGAATTTGTTCTAAATCTTTTGTTACTTATAAATTTATATATATACATTCATTTCGCTATGATTTATTACAAATATTCTTTTACTTAATTGTTTCAATGCTATGTTTACATTTGCATGTGCATCTTATGACCAACTTTGGTCTACATTATGTTGCTTATAAATTATCTATAGACATTCATTTGCTTATTTTTACTTAACAAAGTTTTATACTAACAGAAATTTACACAATGTTTTTTTTTTTTTTTTCATATTTTTTTTTTTTATTTTTTTTTATTTTTTTTTTAATAATAATTGCTACATTTTTGTTACTTATAAATTTATATATATACATTCATTTGGCTATGCTTTATTATAAATATTCTTTAACATAATTGTTCCAATGCTATGTTTATATTTGCATGAGCATCTTATGACCAACTTTGGTCTACATATTGTTGCTTATAAATTATCTACACACATTCATTTGCTTATTTCTACTTAACAAAATTTTATACTAACAGAAATTTACACAATGTTTATTTACTATATAGATCTAAACTAAATACAGTTGGTGTTACTTAGATGCTATGTTATATATTTATTTCTTACTATGTCTAATTTTTATTTATTTTTTTTTTATAATTGCTACAGTTTTGTTACTTATAAAAATTTATATATATACATTCATTTGGCTATGATTTATTATAAATATTCTTTAACATAATTTTTCCAATGCTATGTTTACATTTGCTTGTGCATCTTATGACCAACTTTGGTCTTTATTTTGTTGCTTATAAATTATCTACAGACATTCATTTGCTTATTTTTACTTAACAAAGTTTTATACTAACAGAAATTTACACAATGTTTTTCGATTTAAGTATTTTACTATATAGATCTAAACTAAATACAGTTGGTGTTTCTTAGATGCTATGTTATATATTTATTTTATTTTTTTTTTTTGTATTATATAAAATAAATGCTAATGAACGTCCTTATTATATTCTTTAAGCGTGGTAAATATGATTTCAACAAATTTGAGGAACGATTGGAGGCAGGCTGGGTTTTTAATTACTCTAACTAGGTCATAAGGATCGGTGCTGTTTTCTCTGCAGATGCTTTCGTGGGTGTGTCTTGGGTTCATGTATTTCGGGCAGTGTTTCAAAATATGGTCTATTGATTGAATGTCGTCATTGTTACAGGGGCACTTGTCTGTTGTTTTTATTTTAAATTTGTGCAAATATTGTAAATGGAACCCATGGCCAGTTAAAAATTGCGTAAGGTGGAAGCTGGGCTTGATAGCTTGATTCAGTTGAGCTATTGCGTCGGTGGTTGGTAGAATTTTTCTTGTATGCGCGCCTGTTTCAGCTGAGGTGTAAATTTGGTTTGCTTCTATTTTGGATTTATCTTTAAGTTTTTGTTTTATGTGGCTCAACGGGACTTGTGAGTATGAAGATAACAACTAGATATTAGAAATGATGGCGAATATAATATTTTAATAAATTTAAATAATGTTGACTCCGTATAAAATAGTAAACCAATTAATTATTCATTAAAATTTTCCGACTTGCCATTAAGTACTTCAGCTATAAAATCGACAAAAAAAGCCATATAAAGGAAGTAATTAATTTAGAACTTTTATATACTTTATATAAAATCGAGCTAAATTTTAGATAAAATCCAATATTTTGTTAAAGTTACGGTGACCAAAATTGAAATTAATAATCTTTGTGATGGAAAATGATAAATCATTCAAGGTGTTAGGCAGTACAATCTCTGGGGGTAAAAAATAGAAGATGCAGTGAACAATGAAATTTCGTCGTTAATAAATTCACAAACATGAAAATTAATATTAATGTCTAGATGGAGTTTAAATCTATATACATATAATAAAATTCAAAGTCAAATCTGTACATTAAATATTTTTTAGAAAATCTTATTGAAATAGACATTATTATCGATACAGAGGCCGAATCTATAGTTTTTAGAATTTTTGTCTGTCTGTCTGTGTCATGTGTCTTTAAAATACGTAGTTTTAATTCCAAAAAATTGAATGTACAAATTCGACCTTTCTATGATTTTATTAGAATTACTACTAAATTACCCGCGGCCCCGCCCGTGTTTATATTATCAAAAAACAATCTTTTTGGCTTTATAAATTCGTTACATCTATATAGATACATTAAAATTTAATGAAGTACTATCTGTGCTTTAAATATTTTTGGAAAATTTTACTGAAATAGGTACATATTATTATCGCTAATAGAGGCCGAACCTATAGTTTTAAGAATTTTTGTCTGTCTGTCTGTCTATGATCGCATCACAGAAAAATCACTGGAGGGATTTTGAAGAAATTTGGTATGGTAATAGCTGATTATCCGGGTCAACTAATATACTAATACGATAGTATACTAATATATAAAACCTAAGAATTTCGTTTTGGTCATATGAACGCGGGCGGAGCCGCGGGCAATGCTAGTATTCTATAAGAGAAGATTATCTAAATAGATCTCGAATTTTTTTTAATAAAAAACCTAAAACTTTGGTTATAATATTAACAAGTATGAATTTAAGGGATAGTGTGAAGAGTTTATCTAGTTCATGGATATGAACATCATGTTTTATTTACTGCTGATACACTTTCTTACTTTGATTATATGCAGTTCAAAGCAATTTAAAAAGAATATGCAACTTTGTGGAAATTTATAGTTTTGGAGTAAACTACCTATACTATTTAATTTTTCCTTTTATAAGTTTAACCTTCTATTCTAAGGTTCTAATATTTCAGTTTTTATTACAGGTTTATGAAGTTTAAGACTGTTAGTTTATGAAGTCCCAGCGGCTTGTTTTTTTCTGAAATTGCAGTCAAAAAATATTGTTACCCTTACAATCTTTGCTTCTTCTTTTTATCCTTTATGGCCTACAGCATTTCCTACCATTTTATACAAATTAATTTCTATAATCCATGTTTAGTGTATACATATAATATAAATCGAATATATAAATAATTCATATTAGAATGATGTATTCTGACCACCTGATACGAGTATAACGCTGAGTTCTTTCAATTATATAGTGTACTAGCGGCTCACCCTCGCTTCGCTCGGGTTCGTCCTTAGCTTGATTCCCCATACAAACTTTTATCCCCATTTTTACCCCCTTAAGTGCTAATTTCCGGGATAAAAAGTATCCTATGTCCTTCCCAGTATCTCAAACTATCTTCTTACCAAATTTTATCAAAATCGGTTTGGTAGATCCAGAGATTACCCCCTACAACGTCACAAACTCACAAAGTTTACCTCTTTATAATATTAGTATAGATGAATTCTTTTAGTTTTATATTAGTGATGGCTATTGCAAAATATTATCTTATTTTAGTTCCCTGGTTTGATTTCAACTTAAGGCCGCGAATGCAAATGATATTTTTTATCATATAATTTTCCTAATATTAAGTGAAGCATGTTCTTTTTTGGCAATAAATGTCTTTAAGCCTAATGCCCTCATTTCATAGAAAATGTTCTACATTATTTTTTTTCTACATTTTCTGTTAGGAAACAATTCCTGACTTGTGTGGGATCAATCTTTGGTAATCGAATCCGGAAAGTATATATAAACGTTTGGCTGGTATTAGGCTGTGTCGATCTTTAAGGCTGTCAAAGTTTCTGCTACTTGAAAAAAGAATAATAAAATTTTATTTTATTGCTCCTGCAGTCTACGTGTTTTAAATACTCTTGATTAAGTTTTTAGTGATTACTAATAAATATAATGCACTACATTGTAATTATGGAAGCTTATAATCAACAAGATTATTATAATAATTATTTTTGTTAAATGAATCTATCGTAACTTTATATTCTAATTTTGTAAAACGCTCTTAACTAGATAGGGACTATAGATTACTTTGTAAGTTCGTTCCGTTCATTTATTAAGAAAACCAAAATTTATTTAAAACTTTTTATTGACTGTTTTTTACACATTTCAATAATAAATTAACATAAAGTGATATATTATATTTACATTTTAGTAAGTAAAATTATCTTTGGTTAATTACCAGCCATAGTTAACTCCCAAGCCAGAGTAGGTAACGTGAGAGACTGCGGGTGCGGCAGAGTAAGTTACGGCTGATTTGAGAACTGGGGCCGATCCATAAGAGTAGGCGGGTGCGGCAGCGTAAGAGTACGCAGGTGCGGCAGAGTAAGACACAGATGGCGATGCAATGGATGAGTAAGACACACCGGGAGTCAAAGTCTTGGTAACGACTGAACCAGTGCTGTATGCTACTGGAGCTGCGTGAGAAGCGTAGCTGACAGGTGCAGCATATGCTACTGATGCAGGATGAGCGACTGAAGAGTAGGATACAGGTGAAATAGACTTTGCTAAGACTGGGGCAGCGTAACTGACAGCAGGGCCGGCGGAATAAGTGATAGGAGAAGATCGTGATACTGTTGAATAAGACACAGCAGGCGCGATAGATTTAGCTACGACAGCTCCTGTAGAGTATGTTGCCACGGCTGGTGCGTGAGAGATGGTCTGGTAAGATACAGCTGGAGAGACTGTCTTGGTGATGACTGGAGCGGCGGCGTAAGTTGCGACGGGACCTGCAGCGTATGTGATCGGGGATCCATGAGAAGTAGTTTGAGAAGAGTATGACACGGAGGACACTGGTGCGCTATACGCAACAGGTGCTGCGTGGAGAAGATTGCCGGCTGAGGCGATGCCAGCGGCGCATAAGACGATTACGACCTGGTTACAAAGTAAAGACACAATTAATAAAAACTTTAATAATACTTAAATAAAGTATAAAAACTTAAATAAAGTATAATAACCGTATTTATAAATCAAATTTACTTGAAGCACTTTTTATCATAGTATTCACAAAATATTAATAGTTCTCATATTTTATTTATTCATGTCGTACCTTTGAGTACATGTTTGATTGTTCCGTTGTTGCGGTTGGAATGAATTTCAGATCAGACACAGATGCTTTTATATAGCTGGAAAGAAATGGTATTGACATTTGCAATGTACTCAATACTTAGTTCGTTGCCGCAGGCCTGTTTCAATGTCAAGGCCGTTCACCGCCCAAAATGTACACATGAAAGTATCTTAGAGTTGTTTAATTTTATTTCAAACTAGTTAAATCGACATATGTTGTTCTCCTGTCCCAATTATTTTCCTTAAAATCTCATTCGGTCTGTTATGGGCTATCTAATAAAAAATAGGCAGTTTTCAAGTGCGTAAGTGCATACATATTATATAGATGATTTTGGGGAATAAAATATCGGTGAGAGTTAAAAATTAATATACTTATTTTATTTGTAACTTGTTATTTCTTGTATGGGTACGTATTAAAATTAATAGAAGGTAAGTGATTACTTTTGAGAAAAAATTTAGGTACGTATTAAATATCTCAACAATTGTAACACCTGGATGGATTATAAGTAGCCGCTTAAGATCATTTAGTCTAACATAAAATTAAACGATAAGTTTGAAAGGTAGTACTAACTGCTCCCAAAGGGGAAGCTTAAAAACTGATTTTGAATATCGATCGACGCTCTATCGCTTTACATCGGAACAAATAAGAAGGGAATTCTACTGCTTTCATATTATGTTTGTTATTAAAATAAATATTTGTGACATTAACAAATGAATCAGCTTTAATCGTTTTCCATTCAATTCAATTTTCTTGTTAATGGCTTTAAATCTAAATCGTTTTAGGGGATAAAATGTGTAATGTGTATATAATATGTTTTGACAGCTTTTGTACGTTATTTTCGCATAACGATTAATACGTAATTAGGATAATAAAAAATCTTTATGGTCTTTATTGTATTAATTTAAAGAAAAAGCGCAGCCTTTAACAGTCTGCGATGGGATTATTTTTTCCTTTTTACACTAGGTCCGTCTTTTTGTTTAGCCAATTATCTTTCACTGAAACGATGCCAACGAAGGATCTAATAATAGAAACAATTGTATAATTTCCATAAACGTCGTAAAGTTTGATTTTGTATGCGAGATATATTTTTATTTTTCTAGTTTATTAATGACAATAATGTGGTAAACTAAATTCTACTTACTATAAAAAAAAATTTACAAACTTTATAGAACTAGTTTTGTTTATATATATATATATAAGTTATAGGAAATTGAATGTTTTACAAAAAAGTCCTATTAAATTTTCTCATAAAGTTGATGGTTGCGTCGGAAAATTAGAAAAATGTAAAAATTTTGAATCAATTCATCTTTAGGGTTGAATAACTTTTGAAAAAGTAAATATATCAAAAAATCATAAGAGACCTTTTTTGTAGAGCGTTCAATTCTCTACAAGAATATGTTCTGACTCAACCAATCCGATGACTTGTTAAAGAGCTACAGAATTCCAAAGTAAGAAAAAAAATTTTTCCCACGTTATTCAAATGGGAAATCGAAATTTTCCACTCGGCACCTCTTAATATTAATATTAAGAGCTCTAGCTTTCACAGGATTTTTTTTTCGTCATTTCTGACAATATTTTCAATATTAAAAAAAAAAATAGTCGGTTTTTTTTAATCAGTCTAATATATATATATATATTTACATATAAAACAAAGTCGTATTAGTTACACCATTTATAACTCAAGAACGGCTGGACCAATTTTTATGATATTTGATTTTTTGAATTTCTCTTAGTCCGGTATAGGATAATAAGTATTAAAACATCAGAAAAATTAATGAAAAAAATATATATGGCTATCGCTGGCTAATAACTTTTTATATCTATTTAAAAAGTATCTAGGGATGAACCCGAGCGAAGCGAGGACGAGCTGCTAGTATTTTATATATGTATAAATTGAATTGATTGTGATGAAACTGCATACCTATTATTTAGATTGCGTCACACTAATGCGCTTATCCAGCAATATCTGGTACGTTCACAATAGTCTTTATCCCGATATGTAGGATAACTTATTTTTCTGAATCTTTTACTCTATGCTAGGTTAAAAATTACTTAAACATGAATGGAACCCATGTTAATATTTTCGGATAAATGCGTGCACAAACATACACTTATAAGTGTTTCTAAATAATTATTTAAGATGGTTACAAAGAGTACACTTAATTATATATTATGAATATTATTATTGTCTCGGTAGTCAAGTGGCTAGCATAGTTACAGATCTGAAGGTCCTGGGTTGGAGTCCCGGGTTTGGCCAAGTTTTGTTATTAAGTTTATCTTTCGAGAAATTCTCAACATTCGTAACAAGCCTGAGTTGTGAAGTTAGCGGTGTTACACCCCCGTGCCTCGGAGAGCACATAAAATCGATCCTGCACTGATCTCTCTGATCGTCGGTGTCGAATAGTCCTCGAAAGGAATAGAAAGTGCGCTTGAGTCTGCGCGTACACTTATGCACTATAATATATCTTACGTAGATACCTAGTTTCAGTGAGACGCCGTGGACGAAATCGGCGAGGAGGACATAATAAATATTATGCAATTTCACTAACTTTAAATATATGTAGATTGTACACAATAACAACCTAACTTATTTTTTTAAATAGATTGAATAATTTACGAAGACAATATAAACATGATGTGTTTCATGATGTGATATCATATTGTTTGTAATAGAGTTAATTACATATGAATATAAATTACAATTTTATGAATAGAAGAAAAAACGAAAATTTATTTTATAATTTTTATTGACTGTTTATTACACATTTCAATAATTAATTTAAATACAATGAATATATATTCTATTTACATTTTAGTTAATAAAATTATCTTTGGGTAATCACCAACCGTAGTTAACTCCCAAACCGGAGTAGGTAACGTGAGAGACTGCGGGTGCGGCAGAGTAAGTTACGGCTGATTTGAGAACTGGGGCCGATCCATAAGAGTATGCAGGCGCGGCAGCATAAGAATATGCTGGTGCAGCAGAGTAGGATACAGACGGGGATGCAATGGATGAGTAAGACACTCCGGGAGTCAAAGTCTTGGTAACGACTGAACCAGTGCTGTATGCTACTGGAGCAGCGTGAGAAGCGTAGCTGACAGGTGCAGCATATGCTACTGATGCAGGATGAGCAACTGAAGAGTAGGATACAGGTGAAATGGACTTCGTTACAACTGGACCGGAGTAACTGACTGCAGGGCCGGCGGCATAAGTGATAGGAGAAGATCGTGATACTGTTGAGTAAGATACAGCAGGCGCGATGGATTTAGCTAAAACAGCTCCCGTAGAGTAAGTTGCCACGGCTGGTGCGTGAGAGATGGTCTGGTAAGATACAGCTGGAGAGACTGTCTTGGTGATGACTGGAGCGGCGGCGTAAGTTGCGACGGGGCCTGCAGCGTATGTGATCGGGGATCCATGAGAAGTAGTTTGAGAAGAGTATGACACGGAGGACACTGGTGCACTGTACGCAACAGGTGCTGCGTGGAGGAGATTTCCGGCAGAGGCGATGCCAGCGGCGCACAGGAAGATAATGACCTGAGAGCAATAATGAAGTTAATAATAACAGCATATAATCGTACAAATATTTTATGATTAAAATTTGATTAATATATTGAGTATTATATCATATTATATATTTATTATTGTTTAATTTTGTTTAATTACTTTACAATATTAATCACAAAATAATTCATATAAATTTTCCTCGTACCTTTGAGTACATGTTTGATTGTTCCGTTGTTGCGGTTAGAATGAATTTCAGATCAGACACAGATGCTTTTATATAGCTGCAAGGAACTGGTATTGACATTTGCGATGTACTCAATACTTAATTCGTTGCCACAGGCCTTTTATTTCAATGTCAAGGCCGATCAGCCGAATCAAAATATCTACATGAACTCATATCTTATAGTATTTATTATTTTGTATCACATAATTGCGGCAATTTTTACCTGTTTTAAATAAAATTGAAATGTTTGTTTGAATTTTTAATATAGTTGACCTACATTTATAAATTATATAATAATAAAGCCAAAAACAACTATGAGAAAAAGTTGTCTACGTTGTAGTATCTGTAATAGTTATCTATATCCTCTAATCTTCAGCACAGATAATGAGATTTTAATGTGACTTTCAACATATACTTGCATAAGATTTGAAATAATAAAGTATTTATTTATTAAAAAAAAAGAAAAATGTTTTTTTTTTGGAAAAGTAAATAGAAAAAGAATAATTAATTAATTTCAAGGGATTTCCTCTTCCTGGGATTTGGGTGAAAGCGGGCATAAGCATCGTGGTTAAGCGGCCAAGGCTCAAGTTTGACAATCACGGGTGTCTCGGTTCGAATCCCGATCAGGTACAAAGTTTTTACTTTTATTTATTTTTTTGTATTTATTCAAGTTGTAGTATTTTTTTTTCAGCCAAATTAAAAGGAAAATTGTACATTGGGCCTAAAACTTCGAGCGAAGCTCGGTCATCCAGGCACTTTTGGTATAATTACTGATAGATCGGATTTTTTGTTAACATTGTAATCCTTTCTAAAAGTTATTTTTAAGCACTTGGTTATATCTTCTGGTGATCCCAAAGCCTTAATTTCAGTTAGAAGAGTGCATAAACTAAGCTTTTTAAAGAGCAAATTGAGTCAAAATGTTAGTTACTCTCCGTCGCTGCAGTTGTAATAGATGAGTCGTAAGTAATATAAAAATTTTATAATGAAGTTAATACTATCTTCAAATGAAAACTAAAGAAAACATTTTTGTAGATTAATTAAAAATAATATCACACTATTATTATAATTATGAATAACTAGCGACTCACCTTCGCTTCATTCGGGTTCGTCACTAGCTTGCTTTCCCATACAAACTTTCATCCCCATTCTCACCCACCCCCTTAAAGGATGATTTCCGGGATAAAAACTATTTAACTCACTAATTTTTTATATCATGAGATTTAAAAAAACTTATTTTAGTAAGAAAAAAAATCTTTTAATTTTCTTCTGACAATGACAAACACAAAAAAAAAGAATTATCCAATTTTGTGCAGTCGATCCGAAGTAATGTGCGTACATACATTTCGGTGATTCATTTTTATTTACATATATAGATATGTGAATATATATGTTTGTTATTTCTTCACGTTGAAATAGCTGTACAGATTTGGATGAAATTTAGGCCATGACATAGAGCAACACATATGCTGTTAGTCATCTAGGTATGTACTAGTAGTAAATAGTAGTATTATAATCATAGTAGATTTTATTTTGCTAGCTTTATATTATGTTGAAAAGCTATACAGTATCCAAAAACCAGATATTTTGTAAGTAATGGTCATATGTAATCTTATATCTAGAAGTATAAGGTTATTGTGTTGCATACATCTGTTGGGGTCGAAGACTTAACTGTTTCTAAACATTTTGGCAGTAGATATTGTCTTACACCGCAAACCACCTAATGTGACTAAACCGCTTAATACTTACAATGAAATGCACGATGGAAACTTGAACCGTTTTATTAGAAGAGATTGCGGAACATTTGCTCATGGAAGTTAGGTTATTTAAAGTTGGCTAAAATAGGATATTTTCGAAATTTAAATATTAGTTAAAGTAATCGTATTTATTTTACTACTATTATTGAATCACACATTTATTAAAATAACTGTGTGAATGATTGATTTGTAGATATTTATTAAATTAACATCAATTATGAATAAGAAATTAAGATGTAAACCATCTACTTTTTTGTATAATATTTTAAAATAATTTACTTAATTTATCAATACTTTAAAGTAAATAATGATAATTTTAAATAAAACTATCTTTTCGGATTATTTCGCGGATTTATTTTGATTTTTGAGAGACAGTCTCTCCCGTGACCATGATTGCTGTAAAGCATTCAAAACGGGAACTAAAAATCAAAATAAATGCGCGAAATAATCCGACAAGATAGTTTTATTTAAAATGTCAAATATTCGCGTATATAAGACAGTATTAAATAAGGATAAATAAAAAAAACTTAAATTATATTTATTTTTTAATTCATCAATAATTATTAATAACTATGCTTATCTCATTACAATTCATGTTTTACCATCCGTAGCTAGCACCTAAACCGGAGTAAGAGACGTGGGATACTGCTGGAGCGGAAGAATAAGCGATGGCAGTCTTCAATACTGGAGCAGTAGCGTATTGGGCTACGGGAGCAATAGTTTTAGTTACAACAGGTCCTGCGGCATACGATAAAGGAGCAGCATGAGCTACGGAGGAGTATACGGCGGGAGATACACTCTTAGCTACAACAGGTGCGTAAGACAAAGAGCTTGTGTATCTAGGAGAAGATACTGACGAGTAAGAATAAGCAGGTGTCCCGTAGTTTTTGGTCACAATAGGTCCAGCTGAGTAGGTAGCAATAGCAGGTGCGGCGTGGGAGAGAGTTTGATAGGAGACTACCGGAGAGATGCTCTTGGTAACTACTGGTCCAGCGTAGGTAATAGGTGCGGTATGAGATGCGTAAGATACAGATTGGATGGGTGCGCTGTATGCTAAGGGCGCAGCGTGCAGAAGATTACCAGCAGATGCAATGCCAGCGGCACACAGGAATACTATAACCTGAAGAACAAAAACGATTAAAATTCATTAAGAAAAAAAAACTATTTTTATTTCAATCTTTCGTTTAATTTAAAACATTTTTTAATTAAATGTTGCAACAGAGTGGCAAGTAAATATCGTTTGCAGCCTTGTAAACAATACGTTTATTTCAACTGTACCTTTGAGTACATGTTTGCTTATTCAGATGTTCAGTTCAGAATGAATTTCGGATCGATTGCTGATGCTTTTATATGGAATGTAAGAACTGGTATAATGACATATTCAGTGCGACCTGGTTGCTGAAGGTACTACATCCAGTGTCAAGGACAAATGCCGCCCCCGGATTCTAATTTAGTAGTTGTAAAACTATTGTATTGTAATTTTTCATTAGGAGCTATATGCCTAGTCATTTTATATACGCATTATATAAAAATATGCTTCACGTGTCCACAATTCATTAACTCTAGACCAAGACTCTGGGCATAAATTGATGAAACTTTGACACAACAGACAATGTTAAAAATGGTAAAATTCGGTGGCAATTTTTATATAGAAAATAATACTTTCGGGTGTAAAAAAAGGAAAAAAAAGAAATACAAAAAAGTGTGTAAAGCTAAGTAATAAGCTTTACCCATTTTTATTTACTAAAAGCAGTGCAAAAGTCCCCTTTATTCAATGGCGCTTTACGTAGGGCCAAGTAAGCTATGTTACGAGTATGGTAATTTTATCCTCTGCGTATAAATTGTTTCCGCTTAAATGCCAATTTACTTCCTTCAAAAGTACTTTATAGCGAAATATTTAATTTTAAACCTATTTTTACAAAGAAAAAGATTAAAATAAATATTATGTATATATTATATGATATTTGACACACAAAATGTAAATACAGTGTAATATATTATTATGTACTAGATTTTTATGTATAATTGCTCTACTCCTTAGCATCGAAGGGTATACACTATACAGCCTATAATATGACCTTCCTTAATAAATATAAAATATAAACAATTTCTTTTAAATCGGACACTATGATAATTAGCGCGTCCGAACAAACAAAAAAATAAACACAAAATAATGTCATCTGCATATTACAACAGATTTTCAATTTAATATTCATTTTGTTCTATACTTATATTCAAAATTGAAGAACATGACTCTATGCTTATTTGGATGAAACAAAATCTAAAAGAAATATTAATAAAATGTTATTTGTTTCAATGTCTGTTTCATCTAACAAAAGAAGCGGCTCTACCGATTTTAGTTGAATAATGACTGACACAAGACTTTGCTCAGAGTTGTATGGGTGGGCTACTTTTTGTTTGAATCTCAATGAAACATAGAGCTCCCACGGGATAGAAATTTTATAGATTTTCTGTTATCATTGCAAAGCTTAGATTACATACCAACATACATACATAGGTTTTGAAAGATGACACTAGCTATGAGTGCTAATGGATAGCCAAGTCAACATTTATATTATAAGTTCTTATAAAAGATCTCTAAGTGAGAGAAAAGTAAGCACGATTATAAAACTTGTATCGTATTAAATTCTAGAGCGGTTTCCTCGAATTAAGTTTTAAAGCATGTGTGAATGTATTATGAAACACTTGCATTTATGATACGAAATTAAAGGAAAGTTCACGAGTGTGAAGCCTGAAGCTGGCGACAACTGGTTGATTATAAATTATATTCTCACTATTAATACGATATAATAGTTCTTTTTTTTTAATTCTTGTTATATAAAATTAAACAAACTTTTATTAAAATATACGAATATGTTGAGCAAAGCGAAATTATTATTTGATCCTATTAAAAGTGACTCATTTCTTTTAAGTGGGCCATTAAAACGTACTCTTACAATTTAACTTTAATATTCTACGTGTATATTATGTAACAAATATCATTATTAGTATAAAATTTATTTTATTGCACGCTATTTTTGTAATATTAATTAAAGAAAATTATTAAATAACGCATCTTGCTCGATCAAGTCTAGAGATAAGAGACATGGATAAAGTAATTTTTATAATACTAGATTTTACGCGCAGATCCAATGTGAATAAAAAAATAAGATAATTTTCTCAAAGTGAGTGTAGTCTTCTAGCAGTAAAAGAGTTATCAGCAACAGCTCAGTATTTTCAGAGATTTTCAGATCCCCTACGTAAGTAAAAACTAATAAACAAACTAATTTTACTTTTATAGGATAAAGAGAGATTGAGATAAAGAGAAATCTGAAACATATTACAAGAAAGTAACAAGATTATAAGAACTATGGCCAAACACATCAAGTGGCTTAAATAAGTGTACGTCAAGAAGATTCAATACCCATATAACAACAATTCCATCCATTTTATGTTGTTCCCGATCTTTACGATTGTACTAAAATGGGATCTGACGAAGAAAACAGACTTATTTACTTTAAAACTTCGCTGTAATCATTTTATGATATTGTTTCATTTTTTGATAAAAATAACAAAGAAGAAATTTTACATTATATTATGTAAATTAATTTAAACGTATAATTTAATTCCTAAAGAACTAAGAAGCCCATGAACATGTAACATGTATGGAATATAAAATATATGTATATGGAGAAAAAAATAGTAATACGAACTAAATATACTAACATAAGGGCTGGTTTTCAAAATGAAATGTAAAAAACCTTTTTGGCTATTTGAAATATAATCAATTTTATTAAAATTAGTAAGACATACACTTTATTTATTTTTCTTTGAAGTCTTTGCGTTTATATTCATTGACTCTTTGTGTTAAATCAAATAGTTATTAAATGTAATGTAACTTTAATTAAGTAATCTATACTAATATAATACATAAAAGAGGTAAAGTTTGTGAGTTTGTTAGGTTTTAGGGGGTAACTCTGGATGTACAGGACCGATTTAGATGAAATTTGGTAAGAAGATAGTTTGAGACCCTGGAAAGGATATAGAATATTTTTTATCCCGGAAATGATCCCTTAAGAGAAAATGAATGAGAATGGGAAGTGAAAATGGGGATGAAAGTTTGTATGGGGAATGAAGCATGAATGAAGGGACGAACCCGAGCGAAGAGAGGGTGAGTCTCTAGTGTAACTTTGATAATTTTATTTTAATAAGTACCTACTAACAATACAAGTGTATCAATTTACAATGTAATTGCCTCTTGCAATGACGATGAAGGTGAACATTGCGAGGAAATCTTCAAGTCTCAGAAAACTGAACTAGTTTAAAAAAACGCATGGAGATCGTCAATCCGAATTAGACCAGCGAGGGGTTATGGTTTTAAAGTACCCCACCCCTATAAGTTCTAATTATATGATATATGTTTAAGTATGTTTTTATATAAATAGACTCATAACTAGTCACATTACTATATAGATACTTTCAGTTTGGGCTTATTTTGTTTTATTTGACAAGGCCAATAGGTTAGAATTTGATTTTAGAGCCTGATTTTTTAGCGTTACTAATAAAAGAGAATTTTAGTTGGTCAGGTTTAAGCGAATATTTCATTAAAATACTTTCGTTTTCATTTTGTACTACTATCTACACGAAAAAGAGAAAAATAAAAACTCGAAAAAAAAAACTTCAAAAATTAATTTTTATTAAGACATTTTATTGAATAGTGGCTGTAAATCTTAATTCGAGTCCGTTAAAAACCTGACCAGTTTTCATAATATACTAGTTAGTTATAGAGTTAGTACTACTATTTTACTTTGTTTTACAGTTGTATTAAATGCAATTTTTAAAATATAATAAAAAAATACAAGTTTACACGTGTGAAGAAGTACTCGTAGGTATGTATTTACATGTGAAGAACTCGCTAACATGTAACAAGTATATGTCGTCGAGATGTCCATAACCTTAGTCTCTCCCGTGACCATGATTGCTGTAAAGCATTCGAAAACTCGGGAACCAAAAATCAAAGTAAATCCGCGAAATAATCCGAAAAGACAGTTTTATTTAAAAAAATCTCAATATACATAAGGATATTCTCTATGATAATAAATATTATGTAAAAGTGTTATTCTCGGTAGATAAATTATGTTTAAGAAAGCTAAAGTATATTTATAATGTTTTATCATGGCTAATTCGTTCATGTGTTTTACTTATATTGTTTGCTTTAATATAAAGTAAATCGTCTAAAATGCGTGTTACACTCAATACCTACTACAATTATGATTTTTTTGTAAATAATTGATAAAATAAACGAGAGAATGTTTTTGTAAAATAAAGACTTCAAATATTTCAAATAAGTCTTTTTGATAAAAATAAGTTGTTATTGTATAAAAGTATCATAACTTATTTATAATATTTTAAAATTATCATTAGTATTTACTTAATACCCATTAAAAATGTAACAAATTACGAAATATAAATAGGCAAAGGCAAAATATTTCAGTACCTATTTCTCGTCTATCAAACGATTTTCTTTTTTTTTTGCTTTGTAGCTATTTTTCTACGTGATATTGGCGTAGTAAATTCTGCCTAACTGGCACTCCTAGAAGACACGAAATAAAAGAATTGAATTCAATTAGTAGCTATTGACGATCTTTATGAAATCGAGTGTTATTAATTAAAAAAAAATAATGATTATGGTCGAATTTCGAGCACTAGGTGAACATTAATACTTTTTATTGAGTATAATTTGTGATAAAGTGTAGGTTATTATCTACTTGATTTAAAAATTGAATTTATAGAGTAAATAATATTATTATAGAGTAATATTACAGTTTAAAGTTAACCTTTGCGATAACTATTGAAAGGAAAAAAAACACGAACATATTATGTAAAATTTATTCGCGTTGTATAAAAATAAATATACACATTATATTACAATAACTAGACTTTGTACATAAGGTTAAGTGATCACCAGCCGTGTCCAGCGTAGCTGCCGTAAGCGAGAGCGGGTGCGGACAGAGAGATGGACTTGTATGCTGGGGCAGATGCGTAGCTCACGGGAGACGAGTATGCTACAGCGGGGGCTGCGTAGCTCTTGTAGATGGGGGCAGATGCGTAAGATGAGATGGCAGGGGCTGCGTATGAGATAGCTGGGGCAGAAATTGTTTGGATGGCTGGGGCGTAACTTTTGATCAATGGTGCTGCTGCGTAAGTTGCGACTGGGGCGTAGCTCTTAGCCACCAAAGGAGCTCCGTGGGTTGTGTGAGTCGAGTATGAAGAGACTGATGACACAGCGGGTGCGACGGCTTTGACGATAGGCGCAGAGTACGCAACAGCTGGGGCGGCGTAGCTCTTGATGACGGGTGAGGCATAAGAAGCGTATGAGGCTACGGGTGCGGCTGCGTATGAGGCCACGGGTGCGGCGGCGTAGGACGCTACGGGTGCGGCGGCGTATGAAGCCACTGCAGGTGCATATGAGGCATATGAGGCAACGGGTGCGTATGAAGCCCCGTATAAGCCCCCAGCGCGGGCGGTCGCAACCGCGCACAGAAGGACTACAAACTGAAAAATAAAAATATAGTTGAATATATTTCAAGATGTTTACAACTTTTAAATCTATTAGTCAAACATTTATTATTAAAAACTGTAAATTTACAGTTTTTAATAATAGAACACAAAAAAAATTGGATTATTAAGCGCTGTGTAATTTTTTTTACAAAATTTCAATAAAATATTTTTAATGTAAGGCTCTAATTTAAAAATAGTATTCCTAAATTTCTATTTTTACCTTAGCTGCCATTTTATAATATTAAATTCACACAGGCAAGTGATACGGTCAGTGTGTAGGCGCGTACTTTTATACCATTCTCGTTAGGTATCCCCGTGCGCCGGCACTGCTTGCATCTCGTTCTAAGTCTTACATTAGACCTATTACGGATGTTATAATTATATTAGTCATTGAAATATGAAATACGAAATAAACATTATTTTTATGGATAGTAAAATCTTTTTACATAAATGACTAGTTTTATTTTATAGTAATATAATAAAAATGTTACAAATGCAGTATTATTATTAAAATAAAAATTGTGTACTTAGTTTTCTTCATTCATAGAATAATATCCATGAAATATTACTGTCACTAGTGTATCAATTCTTGATCTAATTTTCAGGTCCAATGGGTAAGGTGATTGAATTTTTGACTGTTCTTTGATCTGGAAATGACTGCGTAATTGTATTTATAAATAAAAGGGTTATTTTAACTATAATATTTCACAATAGAGGGTCATTTATAAGATGCATATATTACATTATAAGAACTAGTTTTGCCCCACAGATCCACGAGTTCAGTTTATTTATGGATAAATGGTTCGCTGCAAGTATCATAAACCTAACTTTCCTTAATATACAATATACATATAGCTTATAAAATGTAAAAAAGATTAATTAGGGTTATAGTTGCCAATTCAAAGAAATAAAACAACAAACAAAAAATAAACTCTTTAGATTGGAATAGATCATTCGAATTCGAGATTCAAAGAACCTTTCTAAAGCCTGCTTATTTATTTGATAAATAAGACAAACATATTGAAAATAATATGATATTATGTTTACATAAATCCGTGAAAATGAAATATATTACGTTCAGTAGATATTTTATGCTGGAAAAATATACAGCTGTATATTTCGTATAGAAGATAATTATCTTTTTCTAAAAATAATGCTAATAATTGAGTGTTCCTTAGATATAAATGAAACTAGCGACTTACCCTCCATCCGCTCGATGCCTTTTATATTTATAATTTTATACATAGCAGCACCACCTAATCGTAAATTTTATTATAAAAGGTGTCATTGTTACTCCAGGTCATAATCTATTTGTGTACTTAGTGTCATCCAAATCCATCAAGCCCTTTCAGCGTGAAAGAGCAACACACACAAAAAAAACGCATTTATTGGTGATGATTTTTAATTTATTTTGTGTATATCGGAAACGGCTCTGACGATTTCGATCAAATTTTTTAAATAGATAATTTTTGCTTTTTAAGTTTATCGATGAGTGTCTATTCTGAAAAAAAAACATTTTTTATATCTTTTCTGATAAACGCTTAGTGATGCTCAGTCACACAGGTACTAGAATTATTATTCAATAGTGACTCACCTTCGCTTCGCTCGGGTTCGTCCTAGGTTGATTCCCCGTACAAACTTTCATCCCCATTTTCACCCCGTTAAGGGATGATTTCCGGGATAAAAACTATTTTATGTCCTTTCCAGGGTCTCAAACTATCATCTTACCAAATTTCATCCAAAGCGGTTCAGCAGTTTCGGAGCTTGTTCAGTACAAACAAACAAATACTCAAACTTTATTACATTAGTATAAGTGATATAGGTTTCAGTATATAGATTACACCTACTCGATAGCTATAAATCCATGGCCTAGCCATTTGGGTCCGGCTGAATTTACGTGATACGTACGTGATAGAATACTAAATTTGGTACAACCAACAACTAAAACAAGTATGCCTTATAATCTACTAGAATAAAGATCTTTTTGGCACGATAAAGTCCAATTAGGTCGCTTACCGTACGCGGACAAGCCTCATTTGAGTTGTGTAAATATACCCGAGTGACGCTTTTGTTTAAAGGGCTGATGTTAATTTCAGTTATTTTATTGAAGTTCAAAAATATATCTTATTTCTACTTCACTAGTATGCACATATTTCTACATGTTTCTTCCGCCTTTTCGTTCGTTTCCTTTTGTAGGTTTTTTGTTGTTTCTCATAAATATGTTAAATCTAATAACAAAGTGTTTATTTGAATTGAACACAAATATTTATATTTTGTCTACAATGTTCTCATTTTTTGTGAAAATAAACTAGAAACCTCAAAATCCTAGCTACTTAAGTTATCCTTGATAAAGTTGAGATAGTTATGACGTGTACCCTGCTTTATTCATATGTCTTTTGCAACTCACGTGGACTGGTCAATCGTGCCGCCTCGCCCCATTCAGCCAAACTAAATGTGTCAAGTTACGAGTACATTAAAACATACAGAGAACCATAATGTTACCATTGCTTTGTTCGACTTAAATAGCTCGATGACAATACCTCGATTCGGCAACTAAATTGCCTGATATTTTAAAATTTAAACTTTAATACCATTTAAGTAGAGTCTTTATTAGTCAAACAAAAATTGGCACGTATTAACTAGACAATACGTGAAGATGAACGTGAGTAAAATTTTTTTTAAGGCTGTTTCTTCGTGATGAAATAAGTTATGCAACGATGAAATGTAGAACTGTATAAAGTAGGGAAAAGTGTTTATTTATATAGTTAAGTATATTTATATTGCCACAAAGAACATTGTATGAACATTATGACTTGAGGATATGAAATTTTGCATTCTATCTAGGGCTACTATAAATACCAATTCTAGGCATAGTTAACTTACTTTGAACGTAACGTACACAGTAATATTGTACCCTCTGTATGTATTAATATATGCAAATAACCCACGTGTCTGGGTGAGATGCCTATTTTCTATTATTAAAAAAAAAATATAATAATATATATATCGCACAATAGTTCCAAATTCAATCTGAATGGCACAAATAAACATTAAATTAAAATAAATATGCGTATTTTATATTATAATATCTTACATATATAATTAATATTGATCTTTTTTCAAAACTATAGGCAGCTCTCCCTTACTTGCCATACAACATTACCGTGCCATCTGGTAATGATAACAGGTGTCGTGGTTGTGGAATCATATAGCCTTTGACCTAAGAATGTATGGCGCTAATTGATAACCAAAAAATGTTGCGATATTTCAATAAAGAACTTAGAGAGTGATGATTTATTATAATGATAATTAAATCTGAAACCTTAACGCTGTAGGACAAGACTCAGTTATTAAATAAAAATGCTGTACGTATGTCCTTATATGTATAATTAATAACTTAATAGATCTCTTAAAATAGTACAATAAATTATAATTAATTATGTCAGTCGCGCATACCATGAACACTAAGTAAGAATCTTAAATATCTACCAAGAGTAAGTTGTTCCGAGGCCGGTAAATGTTGTATGAGATACGACAGGGGTTTCAGAGTGGGTGATAGTTGTTTTAACTGCCTGATTTTGAATCGTGTGTGTATTCGTATATGCTGGCTGTAAAGCTTTTATTTTGTTTGGGATTTTGAACAAAAGTACAGGCGGTTGGGAATATAAAGCATTGTAGTTAGGTCTATGTACGGATTGTGATGAAGTGATTGAGTTGGGTGTAGCATCATATTTACGTGCGCTCGAAAATGGTACATTTAGTGGTTTAAAGTAAATTGGTTGTTGTATTCCACTTTGGACTTCTGTCTCTGCATTTGGTTCGTAGATGGGAGCTGGTTCTTTGTTCACCAGTATGTTACTTCTTATCGATTGAGAGAATTTCGCAGGAGAAAAATATATTTCTTCAGCACTAACTTTAGAAATAGCCATAAAGGCTAATATTACCATTACCTGAAATAAAATAATGGATAAACATAAAAGTAAAAAAATAACTGGTAACATGTTTTTTTGAATAATATATCCTAAGATATTTTAACAATTGAAATAAATCCAACTCTTGTGTTTGAAATCCATTGTGTATACCAAAGAAACAAACATACAATCAAAAGCCTAAACCTCTCTTAAGCAGTCGGGTAAAAATAGCTATATTTTAGTTATACTGAACACGTTTAATTTTTTAGATTAATATTCATACCTTGTCAATCATATTTGTATCGGTTAAATCGGCACTTGATTATTGAGTGACATTATTTTATACATGTCAAGCTTTTATACACTGAAAATATATGGAATTTATCTTGTTACCATCAATTATACCTTTTTTGCCATATCTTTAAAACAAAACTTGTCTTGACCTTAAACTTTTGCACAGTAAACAGCATTCAGTAAGCTCCCAAAAACGTAAAAGTGGTTTAACCATATTTTTCTTACTAGTAGATATTTAAAATATTAATCGCTGGCTCTGACCATGAAGGTAGCTTTTGAACTTTGACTGTAATAAAATTTTTGAAAGCTATTAAGTGGGTTTAAGTGAACAATAATGCTTTAAATGACCATCACTTTCACTTTGGCCCATATAAGATTGAATCATGTAATAAAGTATTTCTGAAGTTAATACTTTCAGTGTGTGTGCTATCATGCTCATTCATATGTATTTCGATTATAGCCACCGCACAAATAAGGATCCTTGCTGTTAAACTAGCATTTGCCCACGGTACTGTTGGTGTAGCTAAAAAATAACGGATTTTCATACAAAATCCAAGACTTTTACCCTTTTAGGGGTGGAATTTCCGAAAATTCTTTCTTTAACAGATTACTCTCCGTGATCTACCTACCTAAATTTCAAGTTTGTAGCATTTATATATTGTGAGATTTCGTGATTAACCAGGGAGTGGTGTATTTTGCTTTTATATATGGGTTCAACTTCGCTCGGGCTCGTCCCTAGGTACCGCTAGTATACGTTGACGGTTAGTATAGAATAGATAGTCTGTATATAATATGATGTATAGCCTTTCTCAATAAACGGGCTTTCTAACAAAAAAAAATATTTCCAAATCCGATTGGGAGTTCCTGAGATTATCACAAACAAACAAAAAAACCCTGCCTCTTTATAATATTAGTATAGATTATATGCGGGTATAGATTTATGCCTGGATATGGTGCCATTTTGATAATAATTATTTAATTGATATTTTTATAAACTAGTACTATTAGCTTTAAAAGATACTTGTTCTTACGCAACCGTTTAAAGAATTGCTCCGTAAGTTTTGCACTTGCGATATGTCTATAGACTGTATAAAGTATTAGCATCCGTTGGCATATTAGATAGCCGTGTGGGAGTAACCTACATAAATTGAAAATTTGTTGTATGTAAACAAGTTTTATATCATGTTAACTCTTTGTATGATTCATACTGTTGTCGATATGTTGTAAAATATGTAGAGGGTTTTGTCAATCATTCATGTCTCGATCAAATTTATTTGTACAAATATTATATGTGACTTCGTTTTAATACAAACAGTCATATTGAAATTTTACTTCTCTTTAATTTAAATCAATAAGAGATAAGTAAAATGTCAGCGAATAGGGAAATTGATGTTTTTCCTATAGAACAGTTAAGATTCAAAAATAATATCGTAATGTTAATATTCATTAATTTTATATTTATTATATAATAATAATATTATATATTTATTATTTTGTAATTTAAATATTCTGTAGGTATATGATTTTTTTTGATATCATAATTTTAATATTATTTATACAACTTTATACATATCTAAATTACATAAATATTCATTGATAATAGGTTCTCAACTCCGTACTTCATCTCAACTAGTTCAAATATCTATAATATATGTACATACATACCTACATGTACAAATTGCATATTAGCTGTCACAGATTTTATTCTCGTTTTTGAGTATAATTGTAATTTGTAATACATCCTCTGAATGTTACACTCACTCAGGAGCGAACACCCAACAGGTTCCGATGGAGGCAAAGACCTTCAGGCACATGTTACGTTCCAATATTTAGTTTTACATATAAAACAAGCGAAAAAAGAGCGAAATCAAAGCGAATAAAAACTATTTAAAAACCTATTTATATTATTTTATTTGTATTAAAATGGTAGGAAAAATGTAATATGTTTGGAATAAATTTTTATTGCTAGTAAAATTTAATGTTAATATTTTAATAACAGTCGAATAATTTTTTGTTCTCCTTTTTTGATTCGCAGAAGCCATATTTGAATATTATATACTCTACGTCAGTCTCGAATCAAAGAACAGAAGAACAGGTCACAATATATGTATGTGCCAAATATATAGAAATACATACATACATATATTATATAGTAGGTATATATACTAAAATGAGACAGTAACATAATAGTATTTATACATAAACACTGATAAAGCGATGAAAGTTTAATGTGGCTCAGTTCTTCAACGCATCAATAAAACATGGAATGGTAAGTGCTAGCCCATGTCGAATCACAACGAGTTTTTTTACACTGAATCTTTCTAAGACAAAGTAATTGTATTTTAAATTTGTTTTATTATGCATATTCATTACCTTTTGGCAATGTAGATTATAATATTAGAATCAAAATAGTATAATACTAAAGAATCCTCTTAACAAAAAATATGAAAGAGGTTGCTAATAACACAAGATGTAGTCTAAATATCCTGGATTTACAATCATGTGTCGCATATAATTCTCAATCGTTTTTGCGGCTTCACTCACATAGATAGTTGATTTCTTTTGCAAATGTAATCAAAATCTGTTCAGCAGTTTAAGCGTGAATGCACTAGAACAGACTTACTTTTACATTTGCAGCATTAGTATTGAAGTGTTTACACTATTAGTATAGATTGTATGATTTCGTATTCTACACAGTAGGTATATTTGAATTAGGTATGTGGAGGTTCAAGTTGATGCAATATATTAATAGGGCTTAATGCTAACTTAATGTAATCAATCTATGTCATTTCATAAATGGCTGCTCTTAAATGAATTTGAAATGAATACTTTTATCGTAAAGTAATGAATAAATAATTGATATGAAGAAATGTTAATGACAAATAGTATCGATTACAATCTGATTAATGACAATAACCTTTTTAATATGTAACTACAAGTATGTATATTGCATATACGTACATAGTATACGCACGTGATATTTTTATGTGACTAACTTACTAAGCATTGTTTGAAAGGTTTGTGATCTAGCTTATGTCCGTAGTTCTACTTGGAGAGCGATGTACTTCTGAGTTTTAGAGTTTATGGACAGTTAGAAAAAAAATTGCTAAGAGACTTAAATAATTTAAATCAAAGATTATAGAATAAATTACACATATAATATTATACAAGGAATGTTTTTGAAAATTTTTTTTTTTTATTAAAACAATATTATCGATACGATGACAATATGTATGTTTCATACCAGAATATTACGACGTAGAGTCAAAATATTATATTTTAGTTAGATAATTACAAATTTTACGAATAATATGGATTTTTATGGTATGCCTCCCTTTAATAGTGTATACAAGATTTCTACTAATAAATACTAACGTGTATAAAATTTCGTCTATATCTGGTATGACGTTTTAACATTCTCATATAGGTTTAGTGTCCATAATTGGTGCATTTTTGATCGAAGAGTGTGGCACATTTATCTTCTTGGGAAAAACTATTTATCTAAAAAATTATACTGATAATACCTTAATATCCTTAAATCAAAATCAGGCAAATCTGTACTGCAGATCCTTGGTCTTAGGTTGGAGTCCAGCGACGAGCCAAAACAGTTACTGGATTAAATAAGACATAGGATGCCGACCCCATATTTAACCTTAACCTTTGTTTCCAGCTGCAGAGTAGCGGCAACTTTGTAAATATTGTGGAAATCGCATGCTTCAGAAACAAAGAATGCATATTATAGCCGATCTAGTAACTAATTATACGATCTTTCATAGATCAAGCCTTGAGTCAGCGTAAATGTTATCTTTTTTATTGCATAAGTGTAGTCAGAAAAAAAATACCTTTTGTAATATTATTTGCTACAGCAAATAATAATAATCGAGTTGTATAAAATATTAGTATTTTATATAATTTTAGTCTTTTTTTCTTTAAGCATATTACAAGACTTAAAATAATATGAAAAATTAAGGTTTAGTTTTTTAATGCATATTATTTTCAGTAACCAATCACTTGTTACTGTCATATTTTTATAAATAAATTTAACATGTTATATGCTGACATGTTTTTTGCCGACCCTATGTACTTATACGACCTTTTTAAACCATACGTATAAAATAAATAAATATGTATTAAAATTTCACACTTGAGAAAACAACAGTTTAAGTAAGTAATTAAAGAAAAAGTTGTGCAAAATAATTTATTTCTAAGAAATTTTGTTTATTTTATTATTGTCAAAGTGTACCTTAATGACTTAATAATTAATTCATTTTTTGTGACAATTATTATCTTATACAATAGCATTACGCTGTTTATGTTCTTATTTTTATAAGGAAGAGCTTTAAGGCTAGACCGCGGTGACGTCAGATTACTTCATCGAGAGACAATGGGGCGATTGTTACACAATTTTATGCAAAGTGGATTACGAAAGTACGTACGGTTTTTGTAATATTTTTATTTTAATAATATAAGTAGGATAGTTGTTAGAAAAAATAATAATATATTTTATTAGAATAGGAGACAATATTATTTGATTTTATATATAAAACTATGATTATGAAACTCATATTGATTGAGTACAAAAATTAAAAATCACTTTATAAGATCTTAATTTTTATAATTTCTTTTAATAGAAGGCAAAATTATAGCCAAATATTGCTTAATAAGTCATACTGCTGGCCGCTTTTTTGGCTGTACCAAGACACTTCATATTTTGTGGCATAACGTAATTCCGCAGTCTGGAC